CATCATCCACAAATTTTATATATGGTTTAGGTACATGTTCAAACATATAAGGTTCATAAAGTGACTGAAGCCAAGAAATACCACGTAATTCCCAATCTTCAGTTAATGAAGGAGGACGAAGACGATCTATAGAATTTGAATCTTCAATGTTTGATGAAAATTCTATAATTTCTTTTGTGGTAAATGGATATACTTGATGGGCAATTTTTGTGAGGAATCGAACCAAAGTATCCCAAAAATCAGGACAAATAGATTTGTCCAAAAAATTTCTCCAAATACAATTATTAGATTTTTCTGCAAAATTATTAAAAGCATCATTTGCTCCATCCAAAGTAACACGATCTCACAATATAAAAGCAAGCCTTCAGAAACATCGACTTCACCCTGAAACGATATAGAGTCAAGGTATTTAGATATGAATTGATACATGACAGTAAAAGTAAGCCTAGATTCTTCAGCAAATGTTGGATCTAAATCTAGAGTTCAGGATTTTTGTTCATATTTGCTAATAGAGTAGTTTGTGTATTAAAGAAGGTATTTAATGAGTCTTCAAAATTATTTCAGGTCTCCTGTATTATTTTTTATATAGATATATATTTTTTTCTTCTTTTTGTTTTTAGGACTTTTTTGTAAAGTAAAGTTGATGTACCAAGTTGTGTATAAAATGCAGTGATCACTATCTGAGATGTGTGAAGCATCAGTAAGTAATGAAGGTTCAAATGCTAGTAGTATATCAAAAAAAATCCAAAAATTATCTATTTGGCTTGTATTTGTTAGACCATGCCAGGTAGGTGTTTGGATATTATAAAAGGTAAGAAGGCATATTAGATTAGCAGCATTTAGGTCAATAAAGATTGGCAAGTGTTTATTTTTATATTGGTTAGCATTGAAATCATCTAGTATAATCAAATGTCAGTTTTTGGTTTTAACTTCCATAATTCAAGTATTTGTGATTGGGTACTCTTGAGAAAAGATAAATAATTTGAGAGAATATAAATTAAGATAATGTGGATTATGTATTATTTGGAAAAAAAAAATTAATGCAGATTGCTGTTTCTAGAAGAGTCTTAATTTTGTGAATATATGGCTGTAGTTGATTACAGACTATTAGTACAGTTTCTAGACTAGTTTTACATTGGCTTGGTTTATATAGTATAAAATTTGAGGTATAGAATTTGTATAAAGGGTTTGTTAATAATCTTGTTGTTAACTCTTTTAGTTTAGTTTCAGTAATTGAAATTATGTGCAAGTTGAATTTTACATAATATTCAATCCAAGTTTGCATTTTTAGTATATTATTGATTTCTCTAACATTGTAAGTAGCTATGTTAATTTTTTTCATTTAGATTAAATTCAAATAGGTTTGGTTCATTTGAATGTTCTTCTAATTGTAGAGTAGTTGTTGCAATTTTATTGCTATTAGTAGATATATTTAGGTTTAGTTTTATCATTAGAAAAGAAATAGTTTAAAAATGTTTCAGTTTGGAGTTAGAAATAGTGGCAAAAAGAGAATCTTATTTGAAATAGTTTTAATAATAAAGTGTTGGTAAAGGAATTCAAAAGTTTTATTAACTTTTGCTTGTTCTATTATAAGAATTGTTTCATATGTGTTGCATTTATGTTTTTTATTTTAAGGTATTCGATAATAACTAGTAGAGTATCAGAAATAATTAGCTTATCTTGTTGTTGTTTAGCATTGGGTGTTGTGTCTTATTCATTAATTTTATTAGTAGGTTCTTTTATTTGTATTCAGATTTTTGAAATTCAATAAAAGTAATAATTTTTTTTAAGCATTCTTGTTATATTTACTAGCTGTTTTCTCAAAATTATAGAAGTAATAATATTGTAGTCATTAATAAGTTGTGAATCATCAAGAAGCTAGGGTTTATTAGTAGAATTTGCTATCATAATGTTTAATAGAAATGAAAATAAAAATTTGTAAACAGAAAAGATCTATTTAACAAAGCACTTTGCAATTGCATTTTCTTAAATTGAAAATATAAAGGTATCTAAAGTTTGTATTTTTACTATATTTTTTGAAAATAATGATTTAGTCTTAAAGTAATTATTTGGAATATTTTTAAAGTAGTAATCTTCTTTTAGCTATTGTATTAAGTCTGATAAGTCTGTATCTTGGTCTTGTATATCAATAAAGAAATGAAGTTTATATTTGCTACTAAGGTCTTGATAGGCTAGTAGAAGAGGTTTTCTTTAAGGTAAAAAGTTAAAGTAGTTTGATAAGATAGTTGTACAGTCATACCAATCTTGTAGTCTTTTTCTATAAAATGCTAGATTTTGTAATATGCTTTAACTTGTGATTAGAAATAGACCTCTTACAGTTGAGTTTAATTTTGATATATCTGTTGGCGGAGGTTTTAGTTTAATAAAGTATTCTTTTAGTAATTGATCAAAATGAAAAATTTTATACAGTAAAGTAAAAATCATCTTTGTATATATATGCTAACTAATTGGTAGCTTGAATAACAGCATTTGTATAATGTTTTTAGATATTTGTTTTAAGTCTATGGAAAGAGGTTTAAGTTGTACTGCAAAAGCTGTTTAGATTATTTTTTGAATATTTTTTGGTTTAACAAGTACTTGTTCTTTTATTTTTTTTTTGGTATTAAGATGACCTTTTGGTCTTTTGACTTTTGTTAATCACTTATTAGTATTGTGGTTCAATAAACCACTACAGAAGAGTGTACAATTAGCTACACATGTAACTTTTCTATATTACTTATTTAAGAAATTCACCTGAAAGTTCTCTACCAATTGCTGTATCTAACATCTCTGCTTGGGTGTTTCACTTTAAACCCTCTAAATCTGTAACCTGTATTAACATTACTAGGTCATTCCAGATGCTCAAATTATCATCTTAACCTTGGGACTAATTTATTCTTAAGATAAACCTCCCAAAGCCTTCTGTATTTATTTTTACAGCTGACCTAGGTATCACTATGACAAAATCAACACTTGCAGTCAAAGTTGACTATTAAATCACTATGCTCTTGTAAAGTTTATACAAACCTCAGCATCTACTTCACAGCATATTCGGAATACTTTAGTATATCCCTGCCAGTTCACCAAACTCCCAATTCAGATAGCCAGTAGAACTTATGACCAGTCTATTGATATATCAGGTTAGTCTGATCTCCTTTTTCTCCAGCTCAATCCAGCAGCCTGGTTGGTGGTACCTTCACCTAAAGGTTTTTGTCTGTTTGGCTACTTTGACCTTAGTATCCAGTTCATAAAGCTAGCCTTTACAGTAGGGCTGTCAAAGATCTGGCTACCTCTCTACTCAGGTTTTTTCAAATAAACTTCTTGTTACCTAATTTCAACAGATTTATATGACTACAAGAACTTATCTAGTGTTTGCACTACCCAATTGCTGGTTTGCATTCTTTTATATAACCACAACCTTGTTCCAAAGGACAATGTTATATGGCCTGTTACATGAATGTCCTATAACCTGCCAGTTATGCTAGTGTAACTGCCATTACAGATATCCTAATTTAATTATTAGTAACAGTTGCTATAATATGAATATTATATAGGTGATTATCCAAATTTTCATCATCAATGGGATTTGAACATCTAACCTACTACTTGGAGGGTTGCCAACCTGATCACTTCACTAGGTCACCACATCTCTTACTTGTTCTTTTATAAATCCTTTATAGTATTTAATTATTTGATAAACTTTTTTAAAATTTACTATATTAAAATTTTTGTTAGTAATTAAATCTATTATAACTTTTTGCCAGAGTTTTGGTATATTAAGTCTCTGGCTGCTTTGTTTATAATAGTGATTACATTTAGGTTTTTATATACTATTAATGCTTTTTTGAAAAGTTCTTTATAGGCAGTTTGATGTAAAAATATAATTTTCTTTGTTCTTATAAAGATAAGAAAGAACACAATATCTAGGTGTTTAAATTTTGCTTCAATTGCAGAATAAATTATGTAATTAGTACATTTGGTTTGCAATTTGTAGATTACAAATTTAATTATTTTTTGTTTATTTTAGAATAATTCTATAATTTTATTATAATTTTATTTAGTAATATCAAAAGATTTAGTACTTTCTTTTTTGATGTTTGGTTAAATAGTATTTATTCATAGTTAGTTATAATCTTGTTCATTATTAGTCTGCATGTTCTCCTCTGTTGTAATATTTTATTTAGTTACCTAACTATAGGTTTAGAGTCTAAACTTTGTTTGATGACTAGCTATTGTATCAACTAATTTAGTTTTTATTTTATTGTTGTTTTCTTTATTATTATATATATTGTTTTGACTAGTTGTTGTTTAAATGCTTTTTGCATATTGGATAGTTATTTTATTATCATTTTTGGCAGTTAAATCTGTATCTGTTTCTATTAGCATGTTGTTATTGCTATTTATAGTAATATGAAACTGACTATTATGAGAAACAATTATTTGTTCATTGTTGTTGCCTATTATGTTAGCACTTGTGTTTTTAGAATCTGTTGCAATTGCTTTATTGTTGTTGTCATTTTTGTGTGATAATATTATTGCATTATCTAATATAGATATGTCCAAATGCCTACTTTTTGTATTATTTTTTGCTCTAGAAAAAAGTATATGTCTTTTTTTTGTTGTTTGATTAGAATAAGTCTTGTTTAGTTTGTTATTAGTTTTGCCTTTTGGTATTTTACTTGTTGCTTTGTTGTTCATTAGTAATCATAATTGTGTCTAAAAGAAAAATTCAAATATAAGGCTCTAGAACTGTTGTATATTTTCTTTAGTTATAGTAGTAGTTTTTTTTATCTTTTTTTCTCTTAATTTTGTTTGTTTATTATTAGTATGTCTATATCAGTTTGTTAGTTGCTGCTATTAGGCTTAAGCTAAGCTATTGCTATATAGTTATTTAATTTCTTTTACTTATTTCTGCATTGTATATATCAGATTTTTGTTTTTTTTTAGTAAATTAAAATCTATAGGAAAGAGTTTTAATATTAAAAAGTTTTAATATTATACATATTAGTATTATTAAGAAAATTAATAAGTTTATATTTAAAAGAAAAGCTGTAAATATTGTTCTATGTATTACAATCACTAAGAATAGTAGAATAAATATAAAGTTAAAAGGCTTGTTAGATCTAGTTAATTACTGTATTTTGAATTTAGTTATAAGTAAAAATATTAGTTAATAACAGATATACTAAGATAATATAAAGCTTAATATTTAAAAAAAAATATCAAGTGCTATAGTATCTTTAGAATGAGTATAAATATTATAAACATAAGGTTTAAGATAATTATAAATTATAATAATAATATTTTTCATAAAAGTAAAAAAATTAGACTAAAAATAAGTAAAAAGGTTATTATTATAAAATAAAATTAATTTTGCCAGAGATTTTGGTTTCTGTAATGCTTAAAATAGATATATTATAATTGAGGCA